TGCAGCCCTCCCCTCGCTGGGTGGGCCCACTGTGGCCTGTGGCTGGCTGCCGTCCTCTGGGGGCACAGGAAGCACCCCGGGCCCTGCCGCTGCGGGGCTGATCCCGGGGTTCTCCTCCCAGAGACCCGAGTGCCTCTCCATCCATTTCTTCTCGCGTCCTGCTGACTCAGTGTCCTCTGCATCACGGGGTTCCTTTGTCTGAACTCCTCATTTTTGTCAGTAGCACCAATTGCGATGTCACGGTTGCGTGTGGAGCCCTGGCGCCGGCTCAGCGCCTGCCCCTGTCGCCAGCCAGCCAGGTCCCCGGGGGCGGTGGCCTCCCTCCTCACTGCTACACAGGTGGGCGCACCCCTGCAGCCGCGCAGGGTCGCTGTCCGAGGCCCGCAGCCCGGGGGCAGTGCCTGGAGCCCACCGTTGAGCCAGCAGTGGCAGGGGGGCCTCCCAGGCTCGCCTCATGCCTCCATTCTGTGTGATCGCTTTGTGTTTTCTGGGGGGAAAGTGAGGGAAAAGCCGCCACAGGGTTCTCTCTGAGCAGCAGTCCTGGTTTATTTTTAGGAGAAGGAAGCAGATCCTAGATGTTTTCAGAGAGCCTGCCTTGTCACGTCGGCACGGAGGGGAGGAGGCAGACCAACAGCCGCGGCACACCTGGTGGCCCTGCTCAGTGCCCACTGCTGCAGGAGCGCGGCAGGGGGTGGGGGACGGACAGAGCGGGGCTCCGGGGCCCACGGGCTTCTCCGCTCCGCCGGCTGCTTGGGGGGCCGCCGCACCTGCACCTACCAGCCCCGCTCCCGCCATAGCAGGAGCCTCGCAGGCAGGCGCCGGCCCTTAGCATGGCCCTTAGCATTCCGGGTGCCACCCGCCTGGGCTCTTCTCCATCCTGCCTCTGGTCTGGCCTCCTCCCCCCACACCTGCCCCTCCTACCCCGGGTCTGTCCTTGCCTCCTACCCCCTCTCCCGGCCCAGAGGAGACGCTGCTGTCCCCAAAGCCGCTCCAGCTGAGGCTGAGTCTGGTGACGTTTACCTCCTCCCTTTCAGCTTTCAGACCCGGACCCGGCACCCCAGAGTGAGGAGCCCATTGTCCTGTGGGAAACCCTGGAGGAGACAGCCCCGCGGTGTCGGGCTTGGGGGGGCCAGCAGGCTAAGCACCTGCTGAGTCCTGCAGAAGACCTCGGGGCCCCAGGGAGGACGCAGCCATGACCGTGAGCCGGGGGAGGGGGACAGCCTCCCCGTGAGTCTCACCTGGTGCTCCCCCCCCCCACCGCCCCGGAAGCCTGGACGGGCCACTAGGGACTGGCAGGTGCCGGAAGCCCAGCTCCGCAGCTTTCCGGGGGCAGCAGCTCCCACGGGTGGGACAGTGAGGACAAGCTTCGGGGCCCAGCCGCCTACTGCCACGGCTCGCCCTCCACCCATGAGGACCCGACGGCCAGCCGCGCACAGGCACCCAGGGAGTGCAGGACCCCTGCCCCCCTTGGGTACCCTCAGCCTCGGGTTTTCCGAGGGTTATGACAAAGGCTGCAATGCCACCCGCCTGTGCTATCCCACCCCTTGTGGAACGTGTGTGGCCCAGGGTCCTGTCCTGCTCCAGCCTGACACTGGCCCCCATGCAGCTCGCCCCAGCCATCGGGGGCGGGAGGGGGCAGGGTCGCTAACCTGTCTGGGCCCCCGCGCGACCCGAGCAGACGGAGGCGGGGTGGAGGGGGGACTGGCCAGCGGGAGGGGGGACGGGGGAGGAGCGGCCTTCCGGAATACCCGAGGTGATCCACGGGAATGCAGAGGGGAACCTTCACTTCTTCAAGATCATCCTTTTAAATTTTTGTTTTTGTTTAGGATTGTGTGTATTTATTCCTGAGAGGCACAGAGAGAGGCAGAGACCCAGGCAGAGGGAGAAGCAGGCTCCCTGCAGGGACCCTGGGGTCACACCCTGAGCCAGAGGCAGGTGCTCAACCACTGAGCCCCCCAGGCGTCCCTAATGTTTTATTTTCTATGTGTCTTTTATTAATGAGAAACACTGCAGAGTGCGGTGGGGGTTTCCAGGTGCCACCTGCCGCGAAGATGTGGGGTTGGGGGGTGCATGCAGGCGGCCCTTGGGGGCAGGAGGAGGAGAGGCTGCAGGGCCGGCCCGGGCGGTGCGGGAGGCCGCAGGTGCTGCAGGTGCTGAGGAGGCTTCCGGAGCCGCCCCTGTCCTGCCCCCTTCTCGGGCATCCTGGGGACGGGCACTGCCCTGGTGGGGGTGAAGCCTCTCAGACCGGGGCTTATTCTGCCCGCCAGGCGTCCTCCGGGGTCTGGACCACCCTTTCCCTTGGCCCTGGAGGGCTTGCACACCCCACCTCTCTGGGGCCCGGCTGTGCTGACGCTGCCCGACAGGGGGACCCGGAGGGCCGCGGGCCTTCTCCCAGGTTCCCACGGCGCCTGTTCCCCGCCTGCCTGTTCCCTGCCCGGCTCCGGAATGAGGCGGGCGCCTGGGCAGAGCCCGCCCACGGGGCCTGAGCGCCAGCCTCTGTGGTTTCCAGGCACGGAGACTGGGAGCGTCTGTGGGCACAAAGTAGGATATCCTGACCCAGGGAGGGCCACCTCCGTTTTCCCTGTGCCAGGTCCTTCCTCTCGAAATCCCCTCTTCCTCTTCAGCAAGGTAACTCCCACCCCCCCACCCCCTTCCATCTCTCTCTCCCTCAGGGTTCTTAATATGAGGAGAGGCGACTGATGCAGTGACGGGGTTCAGACGGGCTGCACTAGCGGAGGGACAGACCCCATGCGTGGCTGGGGCACAGGCCAGTCGGTGTGTTTGGCCTTCAGCCCCGCCAGGCCCTCCCGACCTGGGCATTGCCGGCTCTTGGGGGCCCAGGGCCGGGCCCTTGCAGTCCAGGACCCCCGCCAAAGCAGCAGCGTGAGCAGCAGCAAGTCCTCGGCACCGTCCGGGGCCCACACCGACTTGGAAGCTGGGGGGCAGCCCACAGGGTGAGGAGCTGCTTCAGCAACGCCGGGCAGGTGGGGTTCCTGGCGGTCACCTCTCCTCCTCTCCCCTGCAGGCCCGGCCCTTATGGCCTCAAACTCCAAATGACTTCGGGGAACAGAGGGAGGGGACCACTGCCCGGGAGGAAAGGGCTGCTCCAGCCAGAGGGTCCCAAACAGACGCAAACAGTGGCCCCCTCACACACACCCTGGAACCTGCCAGAAAATAACGTGCAGCCCGGGATGGAGTCACGGCTGTGGCCGGCAACCAAAAAGCCCTCTTCTGGCCCCTGGTTGTCAGAGTAGTTCATGCAAGCCAGGAGGGAAACCCAAACCCATTTTTCCCTATTATTATTTTTAAAGATTTTATTTATTTGTTCATGAGAGACATACAGAGAGAGAGAGAGAGAGAGAGAGAGAGAGAGAGAGAGAGAGAGGCAGAGACACAGGCAGAGGGAGGAGCAGGCTCCATGCAGGGAGCCTGAGGAGGGACTCGATCCCAGGACCCCGGGGTCACGCCCTGAGCCGAAGGCAGATGCTCAACCGCTGAGCCACCAGGGCGTCCCTCTCCCAACCCTTTGTAGAACAGTTTGGGAACTTGAGCCCCTCGGCCTCGCAGTGCCTTCATGCGCTCCTGATTCTCAAGGGTGTTCTCTTACGAAACCACAGGACAGTCACCAAATTCGGGTGCAGGGATCCAACCCTTGAGCCCAGCACAGCCTCCAGTTCTGCCTCGTGGACCGTGTCCACCGGGGTCACCCGGCAGTGTCCTCCCTGGCGTCATACCCCACCCTGGCCATGCTCCCTCGGCCTTCCTCCTCCAGGATGGCTTACTGGTTGAGGAGGGAAGACAGCAGGCGACGTCTGACCATGTGTCACAATGATCACTCACCAGTGAAGAGCCGATGGACACGGTGGGCATCCACGTGGGGCACTGTGGGCACCTCTCTGCGGTATCCCCTCTGCAGATGCCGGACCCATGTCCGGTGACGAGGAAAGGGAACAACCAAGTGAGCTTATGAACAGGGGCTCCCCCGGGAGCCTCAGGAGGCCCCAGCCCCCACCCACACCTTCACTGGGCCCTGGGGGAGACCCCAGGACAGGCCCAGCGAGGCTGGGGGAGGGGCAGAGGGAGAAGCCGACATCCCGCTGAGCAGGGGCCCATGCGGGGCTCACCATCGGGAGCCTAAGCGGCCGGCCCGCCCAGGGATCCAGGGCGCGGGGTGGGGGGGGGGCATCATGTGTCAAAGCTTACATCTCTGCTGCCTTTCTGCTAGGCCCATGATCCGTATTTGCCCCTGAATAAGCCGAAGGAGCCCTGTCCCCACTCTGAGGGGGCCGCAGGAAAGCTAACCATTCTCTGAGGTCGTCCTGGCCCCAAACCCGGTACCAGATCCCACACGGGGCCAGGACAAGAGCTGAAAACCCACCCGCCCACTGGCATCATCACAACCCCTGATGATTGATGAAAAGAACACCTGTTGTCCCCTGACACCACCTCTGACAGGACCGTACCCTGGAGTCCCGAAGGAACAGCACCCGGGCCCCAAGAGATGACGGCTGCCCAGCCCCGGGAACTCACAGAAGCTGCGCAGGCGCTTCTCTGCCACCCACACCCGGCAAGAAGCCGCCCCGCCTGCTCTGGCTTGCGTCTGCCTACGGCTTGTGAGAGGCCTAGAGCCCTCTCAGCTGGTCCTGGGGCCACCCCCAGGTCCTTGGGCCCTGAGTGGACGGGCAGTGAAGGCCAGTGGTGGCCGGGCCTGGGTGCAGGTGGGGGGGTGCCGGGTGGTGAGGAGGGTGCAGGTAGGGGGTGCTGCGTGTAGGTGGGGAGGGTGCAGGGTGCAGATGGGGGATGCCAGGTGCAGGGAGGGTGCAGGTGGGGAGGGTGCAGACGGGAAGGCTGCCGGGTGCAGGTGGGGGGTGCAGGGCGCAGGTGGGGAGTGCAGGGTGCAGGTGGGGGGTGCCGGATGCAGGTGAGGGGGCCCGGGTGCAGGCGGGGAGGCTGCCGGGGGCAGGTGGGGGATGCAGGGTGCAGGTGAGGGGGCCCGGGTGCAGGCGGGCTCTCCGCAGCCGAGCAGGGTCCGCGCGCCAGGAGGGAGCCCGGTCCTCGGAGAAGGGGCCGCTGCGGTGCTCCGTCCTGTCCGCGGACACTCGCGGCCCGGGTCCCTCGCGGGGGCTTCCCTCCCCCAGTCCCGCCACCCCCCCACGCCGGGGGCGCCTCCACCTTTCTCCACCCGCACCGCCTCGCCCACTCGGTCACCGCACCCGGGCCTGGCTGGAGGCCGGCGGGCGGGAGCGGGGTGTCCCGGCGAAGACCCGCACGGGAGGAGGAAGGACCAGGGCGCCTGATGCGGAGCCCGCGCGGGGAGCAGCCGAGTGCACGGCCTCCCGCGGCCTAGAGCGTCACCGGAAGTGCCGCGCCGCCGCCCTGGGGACGAGCGCTTCCGGCGAACGGCGAGGCTGCAGGTGAGTGTCCCAGCGGTGCTGCGGGCGGTGCTGGAGCGGGAACCAGGGGCCCGGGCGCGGGTCCGTGTGCTGATGCGGGGCTCTCGCTTCGAAAGAGCTGCACGTGCGCCGTGCGGAGTGACAGCCTCAGGGGAGTCCCCGCCTGACCAGCGCGGCGGCCCGGACCTCCTCCCGCTGACCACTCTGAGGGACCCCGACCTCGTCCCCCGACCATCCTGAGGGACCCCGACCTCCTCCCCCTGACCATCCTGAGGGCCCCGGACCTCCTCCTCCTGACCATCCTAGGGACCCCGACCTCCTCCCCCTGACCATCCTGAGGGCCCCTGCACCTCCTCCGCCCGACCATCCTGAGGGACCCCGACCTCCTCCCCCCGACCATCCTGAGGGCCCCTGCACCTCCTCCGCCCGACCATCCTGAGGGACCCCGACCTCCTCCCCCCGACCATCCTGAGGGCCCCTGCGCCTCCTCCCCCGGACCATCCTGAGGGACCCCGACCTCCTCCCCCTGACCATCCTGAGGGCCCCTGCACCTCCTCCCCCTGACCATCCTAGGGACCCCGACCTCCTCCCCTGACCATCCTGAGGGCCCCTGCACCTCCTCCCCCCGACCATCCTGAGGGACCCCGACCTCCTCCCCCCGACCATCCTAGGGACCCCGACCTCCTCCCCCCGACCATCCTGAGGGACCCCGACCTCCTCCCCCCGACCATCCTAGGGACCCCGACCTCCTCCCCCTGACCATCCTAGGGACCCCGACCTCCTCCCCCCGACCATCCTGAGGGACCCTGCACCTCCTCCCCCTGACCATCCTAGGGACCCCGACCTCCTCCCCTGACCATCCTGAGGGACCCCGACCTCCTCCCCCCGACCATCCTAGGGACCCCGACCTCCTCCCCCCGACCATCCTGAGGGCCCCTGCACCTCCTCCCCCTGACCATCCTAGGGACCCCGACCTCCTCCCCCCGACCATCCTGAGGGACCCCGACCTCCTCCCCCCGACCATCCTAGGGACCCCGACCTCCTCCCCCCGACCATCCTGAGGGACCCCGACCTCCTCCCCCCGACCATCCTAGGGACCCCGACCTCCTCCCCCTGACCATCCTAGGGACCCCGACCTCCTCCCCCCGACCATCCTGAGGGACCCTGCACCTCCTCCCCCTGACCATCCTAGGGACCCCGACCTCCTCCCCTGACCATCCTGAGGGACCCCGACCTCCTCCCCCCGACCATCCTAGGGACCCCGACCTCCTCCCCCCGACCATCCTGAGGGCCCCTGCACCTCCTCCCCCTGACCATCCTAGGGACCCCGACCTCCTCCCCCCGACCATCCTGAGGGACCCCGACCTCCTCCCCCCGACCATCCTAGGGACCCCGACCTCCTCCCCCCGACCATCCTGAGGGACCCCGACCTCCTCCCCCCGACCATCCTAGGGACCCCGACCTCCTCCCCCTGACCATCCTAGGGACCCCGACCTCCTCCCCCCGACCATCCTGAGGGACCCTGCACCTCCTCCCCCTGACCATCCTAGGGACCCCGACCTCCTCCCCTGACCATCCTGAGGAACCCCGACCTCCTCCCCCCGACCATCCTAGGGACCCCGACCTCCTCCCCCCGACCATCCTGAGGGCCCCTGCACCTCCTCCCCCTGACCATCCTAGGGACCCTGACCTCCTCCCCCCGACCATCCTGAGGGACCCCGACCTCCTCCCCCCGACCATCCTAGGGACCCCGACCTCCTCCCCCCGACCATCCTAGGGACCCCGACCTCCTCCCCCCGACCATCCTGAGGGCCCCTGCACCTCCTCCGCCCGACCATCCTGAGGGACCCCGACCTCCTCCCCCCGACCATCCTGAGGGCCCCTGCACCTCCTCCGCCCGACCATCCTGAGGGACCCCGACCTCCTCCCCCTGACCATCCTGAGGGCCCCTGCGCCTCCTCCCCCGGACCATCCTGAGGGACCCCGACCTCCTCCCCCTGACCATCCTGAGGGCCCCTGCACCTCCTCCCCCTGACCATCCTAGGGACCCCGACCTCCTCCCCTGACCATCCTGAGGGCCCCTGCACCTCCTCCCCCCGACCATCCTGAGGGACCCCGACCTCCTCCCCCCGACCATCCTAGGGACCCCGACCTCCTCCCCCCGACCATCCTGAGGGACCCCGACCTCCTCCCCCCGACCATCCTGAGGGACCCTGCACCTCCTCCCCCTGACCATCCTAGGGACCCCGACCTCCTCCCCTGACCATCCTGAGGGACCCCGACCTCCTCCCCCCGACCATCCTAGGGACCCCGACCTCCTCCCCCCGACCATCCTGAGGGCCCCTGCACCTCCTCCCCCTGACCATCCTAGGGACCCCGACCTCCTCCCCCCGACCATCCTGAGGGACCCCGACCTCCTCCCCCCGACCATCCTAGGGACCCCGACCTCCTCCCCCCGACCATCCTGAGGGACCCCGACCTCCTCCCCCCGACCATCCTAGGGACCCCGACCTCCTCCCCCTGACCATCCTAGGGACCCCGACCTCCTCCCCCCGACCATCCTGAGGGCCCCTGCACCTCCTCCCCCTGACCATCCTAGGGACCCCGACCTCCTCCCCTGACCATCCTGAGGGCCCCTGCACCTCCTCCCCCCGACCATCCTGAGGGACCCCGACCTCCTCCCCCCGACCATCCTAGGGACCCCGACCTCCTCCCCCCGACCATCCTGCGGGACCCCGACCTCCTCCCCCCGACCATCCTAGGGACCCCGACCTCCTCCCCCTGACCATCCTAGGGACCCCGACCTCCTCCCCCCGACCATCCTGAGGGCCCCTGCACCTCCTCCGCCCGACCATCCTGAGGGACCCCGACCTCCTCCCCTGACCATCCTGAGGGACCCCGACCTCCTCCCCCTGACCATCCTGAGGGACCCCGACCTCCTCCCCCTGACCATCCTGAGGGCCCCTGCGCCTCCTCCCCCGGACCATCCTGAGGACCCCGACCTCCTCCCCCCAACCATCCTAGGGACCCCGACCTCCTCCCCCTGACCATCCTAGGGACCCCGACCTCCTCCCCCCGACCATCCTAGGGACCCCGACCTCCTCCCCCTGACCATCCTAGGGACCCCGACCTCCTCCCCCTGACCATCCTAGGGACCCCGACCTCCTCCCCCTGACCATCCTGAGGGACCCCGACCTCCTCCCCCCGACCATCCTAGGGACCCCGACCTCCTCCCCCCGACCATCCTGAGGGACCCTGACCTCCTCCCCCCGACCATCCTAGGGACCCCGACCTCCTCCCCCTGACCATCCTAGGGACCCGGACCTCCTCCCCCCGACCATCCTGAGGGCCCCGGACCTCCTCCCCCCGACCATCCTGAGGGCCCCTGCGCCTCCTCCCCCTGACCATCCTGAGGACCCTGACCTCCTCCCCCGACCATCCTAGGGACCCCGACCTCCTCCCCCTGACCATCCTAGGGACCCCGACCTCCTCCCCCCGACCATCCTGAGGGACCCCGACCTCCTCCCCCTGACCATCCTGAGGGACCCCGACCTCCCCCCCCCGACCATCCTAGGGACCCCGACCTCCTCCCCCTGACCATCCTAGGGACCCCGACCTCCTCCCCCCCGACCATCCTGAGGGACCCCGACCTCCTCCCCCTGACCATCCTGAGGGACCCCGACCTCCTCCCCCCGACCATCCTAGGGACCCCGACCTCCTCCCCCTGACCATCCTGAGGGCCCCTGCACCTCCTCCCCCCGACCATCCTAGGGACTCCGATCTCCTCCCCCCAACCATCCTAGGGACCCCGACCTCCTCCCCCTGACCATCCTGAGGGACCCCGACCTCCTCCCCCTGACCATCCTGAGGGACCCCGACCTCCTCCCCCTGACCATCCTGAGGGACCCCGACCTCCTCCCCCTGACCATCCTGAGGGACCCCGACCTCCTCCCCCCGACCATCCTAGGGACCCCCACCTCCTCCCCCTGACCATCCTGAGGGCCCCTGCACCTCCTCCCCCCGACCATCCTAGGGACTCCGATCTCCTCCCCCCGACCATCCTAGGGACCCCGACCTCCTCCCCCTGACCATCCTGAGGGCCCCTGCACCTCCTCCCTCCGACCATCCTAGGGACCCCGACCTCCTCCCCCTGACCATCCTGAGGGACCCCGACCTCCTCCCCCTGACCATCCTGAGGGACCCCGACCTCCTCCCCCCGACCATCCTAGGGACTCCGACCTCCTCCCCCTGACCATCCTGAGGGACCCCGACCTCCTCCCCCTGACCATCCTGAGGGACCTCGACCTCCTCCCCCCGACCATCCTGAGGGCCCCTGCACCTCCTCCCCCTGACCATCCTAGGGACCCCGACCTCCTCCCCCCGACCATCCTAGGGACCCCGACCTCCTCCCCCTGACCATCCTGAGGGACCCCGACCTCCTCCCCCTGACCATCCTGAGGGACCCCGACTTCCTCCCCCTGACCATCCTAGGGACCCGGACCCTCTCCCCCTGACCATCCTGAGGGCCCCTGCACCTCCTCCCCCCGACCATCCTAGGGACCCCGACCTCCTCCCCCTGACCATCCTGAGGGCCCCTGCACCCCCTCCCTCTGACCATCCTAGGGACCCCGACCTCCTCCCCCTGACCATCCTGAGGGACCCTGACCTCCTCCCCCTGACCATCCTGAGGACCCCTGCACCTCCTCCCCCCGACCATCCTGAGGACCCCTGCGCCTCCTCCCCCTGACCATCCTGAGGACTCCTGCACCTCCTCCCCCCGACCATCCTGAGGACCCCTGCGCCTCCTCTCCCTGACCATCCTGAGGACCCCTACACCTCCTCCCCCTGACCAGTGTAGCGACCTCTGGGACAGCCTCACCTGATCTTTGTGACGGTCACCAGGGGTCGCTTCATTCCCAGCTGCTTGCACACTTTAACCTGCCCTATTTTTTAGTTGAGATTACGTTGTTTCCAAGGTTTGCTCTTAAGCAAGTCAGAAGTGCAGTGTCATACAGTGAGCACCTGTGATCTCTGTGCGGTAGGTCCCCACTGGCGAGACGTTGGGATGCCTGGAGGCCCTGTGGCTTGTCAGCTGCCGGGCATCTCCCGCGTCTCCTTGCTCCGCAGGTGTTGCCATCCTGAAGTCTCTGCTACCTTTAGAGTACAAAGTGATAGTTATGTTACCTTTCTGAATTATAAATGAGGGAGTTATATTTAAAAATACAGTGGCCTTTTGTCAGCGTTTTTGTGTGGATTACTTGACCCTTACTGATTTTTCTTGTTTTTTCATTAATACGTAGTGGTCCTTATGTATTAAGTATATGAATCTTTATGTTATAAATATACCTTGTCCCTGGGGTTTTCTTTTTTCATTTCTTTGTTTTTTTTACATTAAATTTCCTTGTGTAGTTAAATGTGTCAGACTTTACCTTTGGTGTTAAGCACAGCAAAAAACATTCCACAATCTAAAACTGCACTACTCAAATTTTTATTTTTTTGGTTTCATATTTTTATATTCAAACCTCTGTAATTATCAAGAAGCATTTTTAAATCCCTAGCTATGTCTCCAGACATCTGAGGACTGACCAGAGATGCGGGGCAGGACCAGAGCAGGCGGCTAGCAGATGCCCCCACACCCACCTGTGTTCTGCACCTGCCTGGGTGGGCCCAGGGGGCCAGCCTGGTCAGGACAGCATTCCCAGAGCGTACCTTATAGAACACTACTAACTGGGGAGTCTGTTTAGTCATGACTTTGATTTCTGGCTGCAGAACAGGCCCAGTGGAGTCCCAGGAGAAGGGACTTTTTTCCCTTCACTTCCCATCACTTTTTCCCCTTATCTTCTTTCTTACTCAGGCAGGTGTCCCCACTCCTGGTGCTTCTGCAAGGCACAGCAAGGAGAGCCTGCAGGCCTGGGTCTCCAGAACACCATGGACAGGGCTACCCTGGTGGACACACATGCAGGTGAGGGGTGGACAGCCAGGTGGGGTCAGGGAGGAGGGGACAGCTTAGGAATAGGGGCTCCAGAGCCTACCTGCCTGGCTGCTAGGGGATGTAGCTGGGCTTGGGCAGCACCTCCCTGTCCCCTTCTTTGCCTGGCACAGCTCCCACCCCTTCTGCCTGCTGGCCTCAGCACTCCCTGTTCCATCCCTTTGCTCCCCTGACCAACGTCTGCACCCCTGTCTCTTCTCTGGCCCCCCTGCCTGGAGATTTCTTAGAATGAGATTATCAGTTCTGGCCCCATTTCTCGGCCAGCCTCAGACTAGGTGACCCTGAAGAGTATGATGAGTGAAAACCCAGGCCCCTCTCTAATCTGAAGGTTTAAGGCCATGTTTATGGGTCATCGGAGCTGAGGACTCCTATCCAGTTTACTGTTGTTGGTGTTACTACAGCGTGAGACAACCAGTGCTCAGGACTACAGCATCCTCCCCTGCACATGGATGCCCGCACTGCCTCAGGCTCTTCACCGTCATACTCTGATGTGTCGGATTCGGCAGTGGGAGCCTGCGTGGAGCACGGCCATGGCTCCTAGAACACACGGCACACCCCACACACACCTGTACCCGTTCTCCTTTGAAGTCAGAGAACCCCTGTGTCCCGTGATTCAGCTAACCTGTGTCCACGAACAGCACTCACCCTACTTTGGGTTTTGCCTTGGAGCTGCCCTTCCAGTCCTGGACATCTAGGCTGTGCCTCTCCCTCCCTGCCTCCCTCCTCTGACCTTAATCCTGGCCAGGCCCAGGCACGCTTCTCCACAACCCTGTGGTTTGAGACTAAATAATAATGTAGCAAATGTCAACTTACCCAGAGGGGTGGGAGAGAAACCAGTTACAACCAAACACAGAGTTTTAAAGGGAATAAAGAGCACCCTTCTTGGTTGCTGGCTCCGAGCACCTGCCACAGGATCCGTGGCCTGGAAGTGGAATAGAAGCAAGCGTGAGGCCAGTGGTGGGCCTGACAGGTCTGGTGTGCGTCACTCTGGAGACTGGCTTCTTGGCCAGGGGACTGAATTTCTTAATTAGAAATTACACTGTAACGTTTTGGGAAGACTTCCCTCCATCAGGGTTTCTCAGCCTTGGCAGTGGACATTCTGGGATGGAAGACTCCTCGTTGTCAGGGTGTATTGTGCATCGTGGGATACTTAGCATTCCTGGCCTCTGCCCACAGGATTCCAGTAACGTCCCTTCCCAGCTGGGACAACCAAAGATATTTTCTGACGTAGCCAAACTGCCCCAGTTGAGAATGAGGGCTCCAGGTTTAGGGCTCCTCGGTGCCCCCTGGGAGGTTGTCACTGAAAGGATGCCCTTCCCCTACCCACCCCCCCACCTGCTGGTGCCTGGGATGGCCTCGGGGCAGGCAGTTCAGGGACCTGAAGCCTGACCCACAGGAGCTGGAAAGGGTGTGTGTGTGTCCCCCCCCCCCCCATTTTAACTCTAAATAACTCCTGCTTCAAAACCAGTGCTAGGGGTCAATTTCTGGAACATCTAAGTGTGCCAAACCACAACAAACCACAAGACCAGACACGGGGCGGGGGGGGGGGCGGGGGCTCCCAGAGGGCCTCCTGCCTCAGCCTGTGCCTGGGGCCTCTCCCCATCTCCAGGTGCTCAGTGGGACAGCCCCTGCATTAGGGAATCCATGGAAAGTGGCTGTGGGTGCCTGCCTGCACTAAGCCGCCCTGGGGACCACTGGCCTTGCCCCCGCCCCTGCCCTGCAGGGGCCTTTACCCCCTGGGCTGCCACAGCCCTTGAGAAACGTGGCTGCGGTGTGGGCATGGCCCCTGTGGAAAGCTGCTCTCGAGGTCGATGGGCTTGCCCTGGGGGGTGCCCTCCTTGAGCCAAGTGCAAGGCGGCATCCTTGTCTCACCTCGCAGGTGCCCCTGTAGGCGCAGCAAAGGTGGCAAGAACTGCCCAGTGTTTCGCGACCACACCCCTAAAGTCATTTATTTAAATGGGCGCGTGGTCTGTGCCCAGGAGCCAGCGGGGCCAGGCTGTGCTCAGCCAGGACAGGGGCCCCTCAGCCCAGCTGGTTCTGTCTCCTGTCTCTGGCTGTCGCTTACTCTTGGCACTGACCTCTGAGTAAGGATTCTCTTGTGTGGACCAGAGGCCCTTTGTGCTGGGCTGTGGAGAGCTGTCAGGGACAGAGTTGTCTTGGGAAGTCCAGAGTTGCAGAAGTGAGCTTCTGGGGCCAGAATGTGTGCCACCCAGGACCCCTGCTTTGCTGCCAGTTGTCTTTGCCTTCCAGGCCGTACAGCAGAAGCAGGGGCACCCAGAGCCTTCTGGGCTTCTGTCTCCTGCTCTCCTGAGCCTGAGGGAAGAGGCTCAGGCTACCGCAGAGTCCCAGCGGAGGGTCCTGATTGATTAGCTCCCTGCCCTTGCCCACTCCTGGAACCATGGGTGTCCGGCGCTGGGGAGAACTGGGCAGGGATGGGCTGGCACTACAGGTGTCTGCTGCCCGCCCGCCCGCCCTTCAGCGGCAGCGGCGTCTTACCCAGATGGCCACCACCAGTCCACGCGGCTGCTTCTTTAGGCCCCCAGTCATACCTGTCTGACCCTCTCTTCCAGCTTCCCTGGCACCGGCATCAGGTGACAGCCAGGCTTCTGGCTGTGCCGCTTCAGTGGCTGAGCGTGGGGCGCAGAGCGCAGAGCCGACCGTAAGGCAGGAGGCTTTGGAGGAAGAAGGGACATGGCATGGAGAGAGCACGCAGGGGCCTCCCTGGACACATGAGCCCCCGGACTGCTGTGGGAACAAGGGGGCCAGAGACAGCCCCAGAGGTTCCCCTAGGGTTCCAGAGGTTTCTGAGACACCCGGAGGGGATACTGGCCATGAGAGCAGTGCGCCGCCGGGGTCAGAGGCCACCCTGAGAGCTCTGCCGGCCACGGGCGGAAGAGGCCCCGGGAGGGGGCGGCCTTACCAGTGCAGCACCTGTGACCGTAGCTTCAAATGCTATTCGGATGCGGCGAAGCATCAGAGCATTCACTCCGGGGAGAAGCCATACTCGTGCAGCGACTGCGGGAAGGCCTTCATCCACAGCTCACACGTGGTCCGCCACCAGCGCACGCACCACGGTGAGAAGCCCTACGTGTGCAAGGAGTGCGGGCGGGCCTTCAGCCAGAGCTTCAACCTGGTGCGGCACCAGCGGACTCACACAGGTGAGAAGCCGTATGGCTGTGCTGAGTGCGGCAAGGCCTTCGGGCAGCGCTCGGACGCCGCCAAGCACCAGAGGACGCACACGGGCGAGCGGCCGTACGCCTGCAGTGAGTGCGGCAAGGCCTTCCTGCACAGCTCCAACGTGGTGCGTCACCAGCGCACACACCGCGGCGACAGCCCCTACGAATGTCAGGAGTGCGGCCAGGCCTTCAGCCAGAGCTCCAACCTCCTGCAGCACCGGCGAGTGCACACGGGCGAGAAGCCATACACCTGCCCCGAGTGCGGCCGCGCCTTCAGCCGCAGCTCCTTCCTCAGCGAGCACAGGCGCATCCACACGGGCGAGAAGCCCTACGCGTGCGGTGAGTGCGGTCGCGCGTTCCGGGCCCTGTCCGGCTTCTTCCGGCACCGGCGCGTCCACACAGGCGAGAAGCCCTTCCAGTGCACCCAGTGCGGCCGCGCCTTCCGCCTGAGCTCGCACCTGATCCAGCACCAGCACATCCACGGCACGGAGTGAGCCCCCCCGTGGGGACGGGGAGCAGGCCCTGGACCCTGCATGCCCGGGGGGCTGCGGCCCTTGTCCTACCCACGGGTGGAGGGGGAGGGAGCCAGTGCCCTGAGGTCTGGCCCATGGGGAGCCCCCCGGGGCGTCTGCTGCCCCGCCCCCGGCCCCGCTTTCCTGGGCGGGGAATGCGGAGTTCCCCGCAGGGGAAAGAAGTGTCCACCAAAACGAAGTTGACGTCTTTTAACACTTCTTGCTGACGTGCAATTCACATAGGGTGAAGTGCATAGAGCTGAAGGCTGGGTTTTATGAGATTTGACAACTATAGCCTGTTTTGACCTTGAGAACTGCCGTGAGGTCTCCATCCCGCCTTCAAACCAAACCCCCTTAGCCTCCAAGGCAACCAGTGATCTTTCTGTCACTCTTTCTGCTCATTCTAGAACTTAAATAGAATGATTCAACATCTACTTTTCCGACTGACTTCTTTCCCACTGCTTAACGTTTTTGAGACTTATCCGTCTATCAGAAGTTGTTTGTTTTGGGTTTTGTTGCTGGTTGCTGGGGTTTTTGGTTTTTGTTTGTTTTTCTTAGTTCCATAGCACTTTTTAAAAGGCAAGAGTCACTTTCTACTTTGTATCAAAGCTCTGTGTTTGTATCTGTGTGTCTTGTCAAGGTAGGAGCTCCTGTAGCCAGAATGATTTTTATTTTATTTTTTTAAAGATTTTATTTATTATTTATTTATGAGAGACAGAGAGAGAGGCAGAGACACAGGCAGAGGGAAAAGCAGGCCCCATGCAGGGAGCCTGACGTTGGGACTCCATCCCAGGTCTCCAGGATCAGGCCCTGGGCTGAAGGTGGTACTAAACCACTGAGCCACCCAGGCTGCCCTATTTTTTTTAATATTTTATTTATTCATTCATGAGAGACACACACGGAGAGAGAGAGGCAGAGACACAGGCAGAGGGAGAAGCAGGCTCCATGCAGGGAGCCCAATGCAGGACTCCATCCCGGGACTCCAGGATCATGCCCCGGGCCAAAGGCAGGCACCAAACTGCTGAGCCACCCAAGGATCCCCCAACCAGAATGATTTTTAACACAGCCCTCCATACAGAGTATGCCAAAGCAGAATACCTTCCACCAAAGGGTGTTGGTGAAATATGTAGGGGAGTATGTGAAAGATGCTTACAGAGGAGACAGCGAGCTTGAGCAGAGGAGGCAAGAACACAGATCTGCTGTGTTTTCACACCAAGTATGTAGCTTGAAGAACTCTGCTCAGCCTCATAAAGGCAGTACAAGAAAAGGAAGTTTAAGATTTAAAATTTGTCCTTTTCTTTAGATTTTACTTAATGTACAGTGTAGCACTGGTTTCTGAAGTAGAATTCAGTAATTCAATATTTGTACCTTCTGGCTGCCTGGGTGTCTCAGATGGTTGAACATCTGACCCTTGTTTTGGGCTCAGGTATGATCTCAGGATCATGAGATCAAGGCCCGTGTTGGGCTCCATGCTCAGCAGAGTCTGCTTGGGATTCTTTCCCTCTCTCTGTCGCTCTGCCCCACCTGCTAGCATGCTCTAGAAAGAGATAAAAAAGAAAAAGAAAAGAAAGAAAAAGATATTTGTACTTTTAATAAATGTTTCCTAAGCACTTAGTTGCCCAGGCTCTCTGCCACTGTTCTGAGACAAAACCGCCATGACACGTGCATTCAGGGACTCTACAGGTTAGAGAGTGAAAGAGATGAGGAAAGCCATGTGTGTCATGCCCAATAAAATGCCCAGTAACAGAAGTACCTCCAGGGAAGTAAACATAGGAGATGCACACAGATGATCAGGGCCGGGGAAAGAAATTGGGATGACCTTCCAGGATTGGTGGTTCCTGAGCCACCATTGGTGGTTCTTCAGAATATTTAATCAACAGATGGACTAAATGTTTTGTATGAAGCAGAGGTCAGGATGTGCTGGGGGTGTGAAAGGGTATGAGAAATGTGCTCATTCAGGGAACCTTGGAATCTGCAGAGAAACCAGAAAGTAAAATTTAAGTGAATTCATTATTCATAACTTAACATTTTACATCACATCATGACAGGGTCGTGGATACAGATATTTGTTATTTGCCAGGTAGGAGGGGTGAAGTGTCTTCGTTGCACATTCTAGAACTCTGCCGTAATGAATTGGATGAGGTCATTTTGTTGAAAGTTTACTGTAACCACTAAAATCGATCTGAGCAGTCACCTGGCCATGAGTCCTAGGGTCCAGCTTCATGATCCCAGTCTGCTGTGGTCAGGCTATGGTTTGATGCTACTTCATGGTTATTATCTGCTCTAGCTTAACCACTGATTGTGAGTTACTGTGGGTCCTGTAACTGGCTGGGACCTCCAAAATAGCAGTACAAGTCTAGGTCTCTTGTGGGCATCGATTTCTTTTTCAGATGTGGGCTTAGGCCCAGGGTTATGCAGAGTTGCCCTCAGATTGGATTCAGTGACACCACAGACATTGGGCTGCTGACTCTTGGGCCAAGGGTGAGGTAGAAACAGCCCAGGACTCCCACACTGAGCCAAAATATTCAGATAGGCTGAAGGGTCCCAAGTTCATGGTTCCTCTCAGATACCAGTAGAAACCAAAGCAGTCACTCTGGAGGAGAGCTTGTGCTACTTAGACCTGCTGTATTCCTGTTGAGAAGGTCAAGCAATGAGCTCAGAGAGCACCCAGCACCCAGGAAGGTCTCACTGAATGAGGGTTAACAAAATAGCAAACAGACATAAACCTCAGAGAACTGCAGATAACGACATTGCCAGTAACGTAGGCAAGAGAATAGTTACATATGACGTGTGTACAGGAATAAGACAGTCACAGCAGTGAGAAAACAATGAGGGACTATCAGGCATGAACAGGCAGTTTTTAAAGAACTTTCAAAAATGAAAAATACAATTACTGGACTAGAACTCAGTGGGGTGGGTTAAATAATGGATTAGACACTGCTGAAGAGGGCATTAGTGTGGGGGAAGATCCATCCAAGGAAATCAAATACCACACAGACAAGGAGAGGAAAAATCCAGAGAGAATGTGACAGGATTTGTAAAACAGAATAAGGCTCAACATGGAGCTGATAGGAGCCCCAGGAGGAGAGAGTGAAGGAGAGGACACAGGTGAGGCCCTGCGATGATGCACCCCATGATGATGCAAATCCCAACTTTATTAGCTCCTGGCTACCACAGCCCACCCCATCCCATTCTCCATCCAGGCTCAAGTTCTCATACTGTGCAGGGTTGAGAATGGAGCTGAAGGTGAGGTCAGGCAGCGAGACAGCAGCCAGCTCCACCTGGGGAAGATGAGTGTTTGCATCACAGTGTTAACTGGCCCAGTCTCCCCATAATCCAGAAACCAAATCATGAAAGGAGAGGACACTAAACTCGTTACCAGTACACTGGAAGTTGCAGCCCTCCTCCAGACCCGGAACCACCACCTTCAACATGTGAGTCACAGAGGACAACTGCAAACAAATAGTGCCAGTCTTCAGCTCAGAGTGCCTGGAGGGGCCTGGCATCTGTGCAGGCTCATTTCATTCCTCACAAGGACAAGATTCTGCACTTTACAGGCAGAATTATTCTGGGCCCCTGTTTATAGTGTTCCTACAGGCTTTTCTTTATTTAATGAAAGACATAAATCACAGATCTGGAAAGCATAATGTATATGAAGCAAGAAAACGAGAAATCCACACCCAGACACAACATGGTGAGAGCACAGACTAGAAGAGATGTTCACGTCCGAGAGAAAGGCTTGATCACCCACAAAGGAGCCACAGTCACACCATCAGCAGACTTCTGTGAGCAACACAGAAGTGGCATTTGGCTCGGCCTCTTCGATGTGCTGGGAGGAAACACCTGCCAACCTAGAACTGCACGCCCCGCAACATTATTTTTCGTAAAGAAGATGGAAACAGACATTCATAGATACATAAAATACAAGATCGTTTATCAGTAAGGAACTTTCGCTGAAACAACCTCTGAAGTTTATACTGCAAAGAGGGAAAATGATCGCAGGTGATAGTCCTCGATAGGAGACAGAATGGGGAGCAAACAAAATGACCAAGTGGACTCTGTCCAAACACTCCGTATATAAGAGCAATGTCAGCTGAGATACAGGACCACAGCGTCAGTGAAGGCAGGAGCAGACAGAGGCGTGAGGCTGCCAAGGGAGTGATGTCGCACGCAGGCGGCCGTACGGATGACGAGCCAAGGTGCAGCAGGAAGCGGGCAGTGCCTGACGACACCTGGAGTCCGGGTCCTTCACGGGAGACCGCGAGCCGCCCAGAGACGGGCCGGGAGCTGCTGTGCCTGTACTGGGGGCTCGCGGCCAGCGAGCGTCGCCTGTGCCCGCGGACTGCTGGCCACCTTCGCTCCTGCGTGGTGGGGAGCCAGCGTCCTGGGCATCCAAGCAACGTTCTGACATGCAAGTGAGAAATCAATCCAGAGGGAGGGCATGCCGGGCAGCTCCGTTGCTGGAGCGCCTGCTTCAGCTCAGGTCATGATCCTGGGGTCCAGGGGTCAAGCCCACATCAGGCTCGCTGCTCAGGAAGGCATATGCTTCTCCCTTTGCTCATGCTCGCTTGCTCTCTCTTCTCGCAAATAAACTAAGATCTTTAAAAAGTATTACAAAAGGGAAAAGGCAAAGAGGCCAGTGAGGAGGCAGACAGATTACGACCAGCGAGAATTCCAGGAAAAAACAGAAGGTGGTGGGAGTGGGATGTCCAGGGACCTCCTGCGATCCTCCCCAGGACTGACGACCTGTGTCGCTGCGGTGGGAGCACCTGCCGGCACCCCTGCAAGTGAGCAGCATGGCACCGCAGGGCCGGCGGCCACGTGCAGAGGCCTAGAAGCACACTTGGGGCGACCCCTGGGGGACCTCACACCGTGCAGATAGAAGGCAGTGGACGGAGGCTTTAAACATTACACGTGAATGGGGATCCCTGGGTGGCGCAGCGGTTTAGTGCCTGCCTTTGGCCCAGGGCGCGATCCTGGAGACCCAGGATCAAATCCCACGTCGGGCTCCCGGCACATGGAGCCTGCTTCTCCCTCTGCCTATGTCTCTGCCTCTCTCTCTCTCTCTCTCCGTGTGTGACTATTATAAATAAATAAAAATTAAAAAAAAGTTACACGTGAAAACAACCTGTAGCCTAAAAGCTGCCGCGTACTCGTGATGCTGGTGGTTAAACGTTATTTTCCAATCCGCAAATTGACCAAAAAATGTGTCATGACTTCTTGTGAAACATCTTTTCAGGAGGCGCCGCGAGGAGATCTCCAAAACACGGAGGACCTGTGCGAGAGGAGCGAGGGGGCTCCAGGGAGCAGGGCTCCACAGGTGGCGGAGGATGGCCCCAGGGTGGCGGGAGCAAAAGCAGAGGTCAGGGGCCAGGTCTGGTTGCCAAGCTCACTTGCAGGCACTGTTGTTTACTGTCCTTCCACATGCAGAACACACTTACCCCCCTTTCTTTAAGATTTTTTTTTCTAAATATTTTTTAATTTACTTACGATAGAGAGAGAAAGAGAGAGGCAGAGACACAGGAGGAGGGAGAAGCAGGCTCCATGCCAGGAGCCCGACGTGGGACTCGATCCCGGGACTCCAGGATTGCGCCTTGGCCCAAGGCAGGCGCCAAACCCTTGAGCCACCCAGGGATTCCCCCCTTTCTTTAAGATTTTTACTTATTTATCAGAGAGAAAGAGCACAAGCCGGTGGGGGACGGAAGCAGAAGCAGAAGTGGGTTTCCTGCTGAGCAGGGAGCCTGACACGGGGCTCGATCCCAGGACCCCGAGATCATGACCAGAGCCAAAGGCTGATGCTTCACGGATGGAGCCCCCAGGCGCCCCGACACCTACCCCTTTTATGGCACCAAAAGTCCCATCCAGTTGCCATATCAGGCACCAAGGCTAATCGAGTCTCATGATTTCCATCAGGTCTGGAGGTAGAGAAGATGCCTCTTAAGCCAGAGACCTATAAACTACAAAGAAAAAGTATCTGACCTTCAGCAACTGGATTTTTTAAAAAAGATTTTATTTATTTATTTGTGAGAGACACAGAGAAAGAAGTAGAGACACAGGCAGAGGGAGAAGCAGGCTCCACGCAAGGAGCCCAACGTGAGACTCGATCCCAGGACCCTGGGATCACGCCCTAGGGCTGAAGGCAGATGCCAAGCCGCTGAGCCACCCGGGGATCCCCCTGCAACTGGATTTTAAAAACCTCCCATCCCTTGCCCCCCTCGAGCTACAGAACCTGGAGGGAGAGCCTGGCCGTGGGTTCGTGGCAGCCCTGCCCCGGGGCCCTCCTGCCCGCCTGTCTGGGGGGCCCTGCCCACAGTGGGACGGGGGGAGGGGTGGCACACAGGCCTCGCATGGGACCGTCACACTTCCCCGAGTCAAGGGCTTGGGGTCCACCCTCACTGGGGACGCCCTCTGCTGGTCCCGGGCAGGTTCCCTGGGTGGGCACCGATGGGAGCATGGCCGGCTCCTGGCCAGGCAGCCCAGCGGGCACAGCCTCCCCCCGTCCCTCTGTGAAGAGAGCCCGAGAGGCAGCTCAGTGGAGGGGACATGCCGCAAAGGACGCAGCACGGGGGCGGCGACCCCCCGCGTGATGGCCACAAGCAGTTCGTTGTACACGGTCCCCAGTGCTGCTTCCACAGTGAAGAAAACACAAAGGACGTCCCACTGAGCAGAGCCGGGCACTTAGAATGCAAGGTGTTTGCTTGCGGCGTCCGTCAGGGGGCCACGCCAACGTCCCCTCCAATCCCGTCTGTCTTCTCCATGGACACCCGAGCCCCCAAAACCTGCCGAGAAGACCCAGGTTCTCGGGGAGAGCCCAGGACACAGGGCAGGACCCCAGGGCAGCAGGACCCGCTCCTCCGGCCCCGGGGCACAGCCACACGCCAGGGCTGCACAGGGGCCTGGGGACCAGCCTCCCCAGGTTGGCCAGGCCCGCGGCCACCTCCTGGCGGGGGTGCCACCCCTGAGGTGCAGGGTCCCAAGGCTCTGCGGGAGGGAGGCCCGATGACAGGCATGGCATCGGAGGCATGCCAGTCGGGGGCACCTGTGCGGCCCACGAAGCAGGGGACGCTGAGGGCCCTCCAGGCAGCTGAACGTGGATGTGGCCGGGGCCGCGACTCACCGTCCTCTGCCTGCAGCCCGCGTGCTCCGTGTCAGCAGCGGCCCCTGCCACGTCTCCAGGAACCTGGCAAACGCAGGGAGGCCATGCTTCCCGAACTAGGAGGGGGACAGGGCCCCTTAGCGGGGTGGAGGCCTCATCCTGCACCAGACGTCACAGGTGGGAGAGTGTGGCCATCAGCCACACGACAGGCAAAGGCCACAGCAGAGAGAAAAGGAGCAAACAGAAGAGCCCTCCTGAGCCCGGGTGCTCGGTAACGTTCCCCTTTTGTTTTGTCTTGCGTGTGGTGGGCAGCAGGGGGATGTTTGCTGAGCCATAGTGAGTGGTGGACAAAGCCCCGCGGGGAGGGGACCCGAGAGGGCTGCCCTCTGTTCCACCTTTTTTTATTTTATTTTTTAAAGATTTTATTCATTTATTCATGAGAGAAACAGAGAGACAGAGGCAGAGACCCAGGCAGAGGGAGAAGCAGGTTCCACACAGGGAGCCTGATGTGGGACTCGATCCCAGGACCCCGGAGTCAAGCCCTGGGCGGAAGGCACATGCTCAACTGCTGAGCCACCCAGGCGTCCCTCTGTTCCACCTTTTTATGTATTTACTTATTTATTTTTTGGTTCCACCTTTTAAAAGAAAACCAAATGTCTCAAAACCAAGGCTGCTTTCCTGGTGGTGACTGGTGAGGCAGAGGCCGAGGCAGGGGGAGGGACAGGGGCAGGGGCCAGGGTGAGGGCAGGGGCAGGGCCAGGGGGCAGGGGACAAGGCCAGGGGACAGGGCCAGGGGGCAGGGGACAAGGCCAGGGGACAGGGCCAGGGGGTAGGGGACAGGGGCAGGGCCAGGGGGCAGGGGATAGGGACAGGGAGTAGGGCCAGGGGCAGGGGCCAGGGCGGGAACAGGGACAGGGTGCAGGCGGCAGGAACAGGGGCAGGGACAGAGGACAAGGGCTAGGTCAGGGGCCAGTGTGGGGACAGGGCCAGGGGCAGGGGCCAGGGTGGGGGCAGGGGCAGAGGCAGCTGCCAGGGCAGGGACAGGGCAGGCCGTGCATGGGCTGCGGCCCGTCCTCCCCCAGGAGCTCCGCCTGACTGCACAGTGGATGTGATGCGCTGCCGCCGAGGCCAGAGCAGCCCCAGGAGCCACTGCAGCGGACTGGGCATCTGTCCCAACCGGTCAGGCCATGGTCAGGCCACGAGAGCTCCAGGCACAAAACCCAGGGCTGCTATTCACAGGGAGGAAAGGACAAGGGCGGAGGGAGCAGGTGGGGAACCGGAGGGCGGGGTGGCTGCAGCCTGTTCACCACTGAATACGAACAGTCTTTGCTCTGATTCTGACCTTCCTTACGCACGCCCCAGACTAAGAGCTCCCCTCCGGGGCGCCTGGGTGACCTGGCGCTTGAGCGTCCGCCTCTTGGTGTCGGCTCAGGTCGTGGTCTCAGGGTCATGGGATCGCGCCCCTCGTTGGCTCCGTGCTCAGCGGACAGTCTGCAGGAGATTCTCTCCCTCTGCCCCTCCCCCTCCCCTGAAATAAATAAATAAACCTTGAAAAAAATTTTTAAAATGAAAACTCTCAGGGCACCTGGGGGGCTCAGCGGTTGAGCCCCTGCCTCCGGCTCAGGGTGTGACCCCGGGGTCCCGGGATCGAGTCCCACATCGGGCTCCATGCGGGGAGCCTGCTTCTCCCTCTGCCTGTGTTTCCGCCTCTCTCTCTGCGTCTCTCATGAATAAATCTTAAAAAAAAAAAAAAAAAAAAAAAAAGGAAACAAAAGCAGGCAGTTCTTCTCAAGTCTGAGACCAGCATTACCCTGATACTAAAACCAAAGACATCACAAGAAAGCCACAGACTGGTCTCCACTTAAGTAGAGAAGCTGAAGTCCCCCACCCCACCCTGGTAAACCAAATCCCACAATACACAGCAAAGATCCTACACCGCGACCAAGTGGTGCAGGGGCGCAGGCAGGGCTCCCAACGTGAGACCCCCCGTCGATAGGAGAGAAACACAGGATCATCCCAAGAGATGCAGAAAAAGCAACTGCCAAAATCCCTGGGAGACCGTAACTGTCGGGGTGTGAGTACACCTGCAGCAAGAGAACATGGGGTGTTTGTGATGACATTTTATTTTGTGGGTGCTGCACCCCCGAATATAGCATAAAATGGATATAAAATGTTAAATGGTTATAATTTCATCAACGCTAGAGGGATCATCTCAACCAGAAAAAGCACCAAGAGAACCCTTAGTGGAACACCACAGCCTTGCTTGGTGCAGCCAGTGGAGGGTCAGAACTGAAACTCAGTCCCCAAATGATGGCTTTTTAGAAGGTTGTCGCCGACCGGAGTCTCTGGGGAAACAGGCCCTGCCCCCAGCTAGAGAGCCCCTGGAGTCCTGAGCTGCTTGGAGCTGCCAGTGGGCTCTTGGGCAGATGGAGCAGGTCAGGTTCTGGCCTCCGGGCAGACGCGCCCATCAGGGAGGGGAAGGCCGCGAGGTGTCTGCTGTGCGCTGTTGCAAGGGAAGCCCCGGGTCTCCCTGGAATCCCCAATGCACAGACCTGGTCTGGACCAGCCCCGGGCACAGAGCCGGCACTGTCAGCTGTGGGGTGTCAGTGCCGCAGAGCAGGCCTCAGGCCCAGGGGACTGTGCAGACTGGGGACACCCCTCCAGGGGAGCTAAACCCCACACACAGCTGGACGGGCAGGAGCACCTGCAGGTGCCCATGGGGGGGCCGAGGGCAACAGAAATCAGGTGTGTGCGATGAGCCATGTGGACAGACACAGACACTGAGCATTTCCCTGTGTGAGTCCTGCAGGGGGGCACCCCCCCCTGCATCTCCCCCTCCACCTAACACTTTCCAGGTAAGTACCATCCGCAGGGGTGGAGGCAGCGCTGGTGCCGTGCACACCCAGGGGGCGGTGACTGTCACACACAGCTGAGCTTGTCTCCACGGCTCCTGGGTCATCAGAAGAGAGACGCACACACATTTGACAGAAAGCCATCGTGAACC